TCTTTCTGTTTAAATCCTTTCTCAAAAGAGGAGACAAAATCCTGACAGGAAACACTGGCTGTGTGGATGGGACATGTCTGTGTGAGATTTAACAAAGGGTTATCTTGCTGGCCATTTGTTGGGAGAAACTTTGGTCATCAAGTTTTATCCTTTTTGCTGTTGGGTTGTTGCACTCACCAGAGAAGAGGGTTCTATTCTCTTTCCTAGAGAAAAACAAACAAGAATACTAAACCATTAACACTTGGCTGTTGACATGCCTATGATGAAGCAGAGGGAGAAGTATTTGGGACCTATTTTTTCCTATTGATGTCTATTCAGTAGAATGTCAAGCCCTTGACTCTAATATTGATTAAAAATATGTTATCTCAAAAACTAAGGAAAAAGAAAAGGAATAAAGAGAAAAGAAATGAAGAGAGAGGGAGGGACAGATGGGAGGGAGAAAGAAAATATCATTCTATGAACTACATTGAACCTGTTCTCTCTGTATTAACATTACATTATTTCTCTTTGGATTAATATTACAATATTACATTATTATGTATCTATGAACTACACTGAACCTGTTCTCTTCATGTTAATCTTAAAATAACATGGAAGAAATAGAGTATATCTAAATAAAAATGTATAAATAATGTTAAAATAAAAATATTAAAAAAAATACTCAGTATCCAAACTGTAGAATAGAAATTCACTTATTCCCTCGGGGTTTTGGTATGGAACATGGGCATCCCTTACTTCAGAGTTTCTTTGACCCTCTCCATGCAACAAACGTTGTGTGAAGAGACAGAGAAGCTGCCCAAAGGCAGAGAGGCTTGGTCAAGATCTGGAATATTTATCTGTTCCTTATGAACAGTCTACATCTTAATTTAGTCAGCTCCATTCTCCCCAGTTACACAGCACTTGTTACTCCCACTCTTGACCTCTGGAACATGATGTGGCAGGTCCTCTTGCTGCTGACAGTTCATGATTGGGTTTCCTTGGGTCTGCTAACCCAGCTCTCAGATGTCCACTTGCTTTCAGTTCCCAAATGTTTCTATTGTGTATGCTCTGCTATTCCATTTTCCTATGTCTTTCAAAAAAATGAAAAGAAATGAAAGAAAATCTATTTTCTATGTTTATAGTAGGGCTTTGGAGGGAAGAAAATTAAATGCCTATATCCAAGCCATCATTTGGCCTCAAAATGCCTCAAAACATTTTAGGGGCATGTCATACACCAGGTAAAATCCACGAGGAGTGAGTGCTCAGGTGAAAGTTATTTTAAGTATAATGGCCCCAATAACTGTTCAAAGCAACAAATATTTTTGAAAACTATCTTTTCCTGCCCTGGAGCTGTTTAAACGTAACCTCTCTTTTATTCTTGACATGGTTCTTTCCCTTTTTAACACCTGTCATCAAAGTCTTAGTCACTTCTAGATTAAACACTGTGTTTGATATTCGGCCCTGTAGACCCAACAATAGCACTGCAAGAATTCAGACTAGGCTATATTTCCCTCTGAACAGGCAAAATGACTCCAAAGACTTTTAAAGTCTTTTCAGAATGTCTCTTTGTGAGAGATTCAGCCCCACCACTTCACACCAGTTAACTAGTAAATATTTCTTTGATGTCTGTGCACACATTTGAGAAAATAGGATTTGATTGTTTGAACATCATAAATCCTATTCACTGCTGCTTTCAAGACTCATGTGTTCCCACTTCTCGTGCCTACTCTTGCTGAAGAATTCCTTCTGGGTTTAAGAACTCTTAGAAATAAAATATGAATGTAAAAAAAGATACTAGTATTTTATGATTTTACAAAAATATTTCAATAGGGGAAATTAAGGTCTTAAAAAGAACAGAGGTCAAATGCATAAAATATGTGGTCTTGGAAACAAACGTTTGGGAATGTTTTTATTCAAAAAGCTCCTAGAAGATGGGTTAGAGAATGTATAACAGCAAAATAAGATTTCTGTAACGTCGATAATAGTAAAATTTGATTTAGTGCAGTAAATATTTCTGAAGCTGCTTCTTTATGCAAGTCACTGCATTAGATACTATAGTAGTAGGAAAAAAAATAGAAAATATAATATCCAGAAGCATAGGCTTTTAACAAGGAATAATAAAAAGAAATTCACATAAAATCAACTTTGGCTACCAAGTTGCATAAGGATATTGCTGTATAATTTATTAATAACATTGGGACTCTTTTTTAAGGAAAGGGGGTGATATGAATTATATTGGGATAGTCATAAGCAAAGCACAATATCTTTGAGTTGGCATGAGGTTTCAAATGAGGGAGAGTTTTATCTATTCAGTGAGGTCAAAGAAGATAAATATACAGAAGGTGGGGTTGCAAGTAGAGAGACCCACCCAAGTGAAACCATAGATAAAGGATAGTGGATATTTGGATGGTTTCAAGTGGAACGATATACACTGGTAAAAAAATCTCAAAAGAGAAGTAGAAAATATATTTTGGAGAATTTGAATATAAACTTTTTTTTTTTAATATACAGAGGAGTGACATGGTTCAAACTATAGGTTGAGAAGATAGTCTCCTGGGATATGTAGAAAGGCAGGAAAAGAGAGATTGAGTTAGCAAGAAGAATGAGAAGCAAAGAAGTAATGTAATCTAAATAGACAAGAGTGTCAGGGAGAATTCAGAGGCTGATGATGCTGTACAAGTAGAATTCATGGAAAAGAGTAATGTCTAAGTGGTCATGTGCAGGAAAGGGAGAAGGACAATGTGGAGACCGATAAAAGTTTTTATGGGTAGCTCTCCAAGAAAGTTTAATGATATTAACAGAATTCAAAAGGAAACATGTTTGTTTTGAGGCAAGGAAAAGAATTGTGAAGTATTAGTTTATTAGATTTAATTTGGTAAGCTAAAGAAAAATTTAATTTATTGAGCAAGTGGTAGACATTGTGAATCTGGATCCACAGAGCTAAAGTCATGATTGTGAATGAGGGTGTAAGAGAAAGTGAATAAATAAGCTATGAAGATATAAGGCGACCTATGTACACACACAGGAATTAGTATAAAGTTAGGTATAATGGAACGAAAACACATCAGACTCTAATTTCTGGAATTCAGCATTTAGTGGGGGCTGACTCTGAACCAGATTTGCTACCAGGCTCTGGAGATGGTAAAAGAATGATAAGCAAATTCTTCTATGATCATGGGGATGCCTAGAAAAAGTGATAATAGATTTTTTAGCAAGATTAAATACTGTGACGAAGCCAAGTAAGCTGAGGAGTGAAAATCAACTGACTAATAAATAGATTTGAAGAAATAAGATCAGTGAAGTTGTGAGGAGCAACAAAATTACAATAAAGAAAGAATGAGTATAGATGTGAAAGGAGTGGGTTAGAAACTATTCTTTCAATGAATGAAGCAATTAATGGAGAGGAAGTGAAGAAATGAAAGGGAAGGGGAGCTGAAGAAGGAAGAGGAGGAGGGAAGAGGAGAAGAGAGGAGAGCTCTTGGTGCACTGGGGTGACTAACTTTACAGGCTGGTAGGGAGTTTGAAATTGGGTTTTAAATCACTTTTAAAATATATATTCCAAAATATGCTAACATTATTCACTATCTGTGTTCCCACAGTGTACTAGTTGTGCTACTAGCTTCTCTGTAACTGGACATTTTTCCCCACGGGTGTTCTAATTAGGTCCTTTGCTATAGTAAAGATCGTGTAATAAATACTGTATAAGGTCTATTTTGGTATTACAAAACTCCATAAAGTTCCATGTACATAAAAATACTCTTCTGTGTCAGACTAATGTTTCCGGCGTGTGCTCTCCCTCCCTCCCTCTTTCTCTCTCTCAATAATAAGAACAAGGGAGAAGTATTCTTGGATTCACCCGGATACTAATGGTTACCAATCTTAAAAGCTTCACAAATTATATCTGCTACTTAAATGTCTTCTACAAATAAAAATAAACTATATTTTTGCTTGGCTAAACTTTGTAGGTTCTTTGATATGTTCTAAAAGTCCAAAAACTCTCATCTGCAAATCTTCCTGGAAACTCATGATGGATTTCCAAATTTCTAGAGATTTACCCCGGATTCAGAACTCAAAAACTTAGTACAAACACTCTAGTCTACTTTTCACAGAGGCAATGTAATCTCCCCGATCACTTAGTTACCCTGCTTCAAAGTCCTTCCTTGGTATATAGATTAAAATTCATAAGATTAATTTATTGGTGCACAGCTATATATAGATTTTTCATGAGAGAACTTTTTTACTTATTCCCAATATGATTTCCTAATTCTTCCCAAAATTCAGATGCCCTTTGGCACTAGTGAAATATGTTAGATCTGATTTTTGGGAAACTCTCAATTCAGCACTTGTTTACAGACAACTGTTTAATGTTTTCAGAAAGAAATTTCACAGCTGATTCTGTGTTCGAGATAATTTATAAAAATGTTATATATAAAGATGTTTACCATTAATGCTTGCTTTCATTCCCATAGTCAGTTCTCTATTCATACCCACTCTTTATTAGTATCCTACTAAAACAAAAGAGGGAAAACTACTTCAAATGTAATCTCCTAGAGATTTGATATAAAATGAATATTTGATACAGTACTAAATCATGAATAATTAATTATATATTATATAGAAGTTATGACTATCAAATATGACTTTAAATAATAAATTATACTCACCTAGCCAAAAAGTTATCTTTTCTTCTTGCCAAGTCTTCATAGAACTCTTAACCTATACTATGTTCATAGGCACTTCCTAGAAATACATTTGATACAGTGCTGTTTTCAGCTCCTGTCCTTGAGCATAGTTATATATATCTGGTTAGTCATCAAACAATTCTCCAATTGGTGCAGTCAGTTTAATACACTTGCCAATTTAGGCAAATATACAGGCTTTTTCCCCCTATATTACTTGAGAGTTTTCATCAGTTTCTTATTGATTAGGGAGACATAATCAGCAAAGACTACTTCTACAAATCATATCTTACATATTGACCATAAATGCATATAAATCATTCATTGAGTAAAACCACAATGTCTAAGAACCATTTTTCTGTTCTCTTATTTATTGACAGTATTTTTTGTTAATTACAACACAATGAATTGATGGTAAATACAGAAGATGCAATAGTATAAAAAGCCATTTAACCCTTCCCTAGGTTAAGACACTTACAGCAGACAAAAACTGCCCCACCCAAAATCCCCTCCTTGAATGGAAACAAAATAAATATAAATTAATAAATACAAAACAAATCACTGCACAGCCCTTAACTCTTTGATTGCCATGGCAAGAACCATGTTGATGATTCTAGCTTTTGACACTTGTGTGGTTAAAGGTTGCCGCAGCAGTCAAAGGGTTATAGCATTGTAAACATAAGTACTTGATGGAAAAGTTCAGTCATGTTAATGGTCTAAAGCAATGGGATTAATAGCATGACCCCTTGGCCTTTAGTGACGCAACAGTAGAAGGAGTTAAAAGAGATAGTAGCTAGGTGAGCTGTTACATAGACTAGTCAACCATTTTATTTAACAATGTGCTATGAGGCCTTGATTTACTGATAAAAGACAACTTGTGAATAATAAACACTGTTCAATGCACTGATCAATAAAATCAATGAAAAAATTAATTTAAGCACCACAAAATTTTGCCTGATTATATCTGACAGTCATAATACACTTTAGCACCATTTATTTAGCCTTATAGTTGCACACAAACAAGCTTTGTGTTTGTCAATAGAAGCTATGTGAAAAAAATATATATGCCAGATTTACGATGGTGTATAGAATCCTGTGTGGGCAAAACACCAGTAACCACTTGGAAACCTGAAAACTCATTCAACAAATAAATGTGTTATTTATTTCTTTCCTTGCACACAGAAGACTACATATTATCCAAAGATAATGAAATGGTGTTGAGTGTATGTGAGCAATCCAGAAACATGAACTTAGATTTTAATACTCTTTCCACAGCTAAAAATATCATAGGGGATTTAAAAAAAGTATTGTCAGACAGCCACAAGATAATAGCCTAAATACTTAATTTCCTGACATTTCTCTCTGCTTCACAGTTTAATGTCATTTAAATAAAGTCTGCATTACTTTTAATTTTTTTTTCCATTTCCCATAACCACAATATAGAAAGGAAAAATGATTTTCACAAGAAGCTATAAAATGTGTATTGTTAACCCAAAAGACAACTTTCCTTTGCAATTGTTTCCATCTCATTATGACTCTGAAAGATAAATGTCTGTGCAATTTTTTAAATATATGGTATTTATTTGACAAACTAAGTTTATGGGAGTTTATTCCCCTTAATCTATCTAGTAAATATATATATATATATTTCATATATACTATATATTTCCAAATCTATATTACTAGATAGCTTATATGATGTCATAAATCTGCATTCATTATCATATCGATCCTCTACTGGAATCAAGATAATGTTAATACAGGTACACAAGGTTTAAAACATCTTGAAGATAGGTTAATACACTGATGAAGCAGGCAAATTTCTCAATGTTAATAATTGATTCTTTTAAAAAACCACCAACAGACTATGAACTAATTAGGTTTTATGCTTTTGTTAAAAAATTAAGTTTATTAAAAGTTATATTAGCGCAAAATTGAACTAGTAAATTCCATTTATCCCCCTCCTATAATATAAAAACAAGATATTTAAAATTAGATACTTAAAAAAAAATTCTTTCAAGACTTTTAAGCCTGAAGCAAATTTTTATGGCCAAGTCTCTAAAACCCCTGAAAATAGAGGTCCATGATAGAAATGCTGATGCAATGCAATCAAAACCATGCAGCAAAAAGCTGCCACTATAATACCCCCAATTCTTTTATTCTATCCCTCTTTTTAATATTTATGCAATTTACACATGAAGGGAGATAGAGCAAAGAATCAAGGTTTGAGGCATTTACATATCCATGATGTACCTTAAACAGAACACTGTATTATGGTATTTACTTTCCCGTATACTTACTTAAGATACAGTCTCCAAAAACAAATTTCCTTAGCTGTCTTATCAACAGACAACAGCCATCATACTCAGCATTTCACTTTTCTCAGGGGGATAGCTCTATTAAAAATTAGAAGCCAGTGAAAGATATGTGGATATGTGTGAAATTTTCAAGGACTAAGACTTTGCATGAAACAAATAAAGGAAAATACTGAGGAACAAAGACATATTTCCTGGACACCACTTCTGATAGACAATGCTGCTCAACTCTGGTTTTCATAAAGGGAAGGGAGAAATAAAATCTGTAAAAAGGACAAGGTGGAAATTGAAAGGAAAGCAAATATAGGCAGAGACTGCATAAGACAGTACAGTATGACAGATCCCTCCCAACCATCTGTATTTTTGGATGACAAACAGAAAGCAAACAAATAATGATCTCAGAATTGGAGGAGCAGTAAAACCAGGAACACACTCACCCTTGTTTGGAAATCACATTTGCTTGAAAGCAAAGGAACTAAGACTATGAAATTTTGTATTTATGGATATCTAAAGGAATAATGGATTTCATGTCAGATACACAGAAGTAAATGACAAAAAGAACTAAAAACCCAATTTTTCTCAGGCAATGATACATACAAAAAGCTGAGAGATGACATCCATGATGTGGCCTCTGTGATGTTATTTCGGTGATATTAAAATAATGACTTTGATTTAAGGATAAACCCTCATATTACTACCAAAATCATTCATTCAAGCAAAGCATATTTTATATTAACAATTGGGATGTCACTATATAGAGAGGGAACAGGTTCAAATTGGCATCATGTAACAGTAAATGAAACATGCATCCTGGTGCTTTTCAAATAGACAGCTCAAACCAGGCTTTGTTCATTCAAATGGCAAGACAGGCCAACGTAGCAACATACATTCATAGAAAAGGTGGACAGTACAAGCAGCACCATACCCTATCCTAGGACAATGCATCCTACCATGCAGTCATATCTCACCAAAGCTTCATCATATATGAGGCATATATAAAAAAGGCCTGTGTCAAAACGCATTCTGCCTAGGAACGAATCTAGCTACAGACCAAGTATGACAGAGATAGCTGTATTGTGACTGATAGTTTCTTACAGATAAAAACAAATGGAGAAAATACTCAAGAAACACTTTTGTAAGTCAAAAAGTTTATCATTTTATTCTTTACCATTCTCTCCTTCAGATTTCTCTATTTGAAATAAGGGTTGAAGACATCTTGCTCTGAAACTAAGTGGCCTACAATTATACAATTATCATATGTTCATATTTATATTTAATTGACTTTTCTCCCTTCTTAAGGGCATATAAATCCAGCTCTATAGCAGAGCACTTGGCAAGGCTATGTGAATCAGTTTATGACGCATTTCCCTACACTGTTCAATGTGCTCTTAAATGTAAGGACACATTTAGTGCAAATTTGAACATCATACCCAGTCTGATGTTAGTGTAGGATAACTTCTAAGACATATTTCTCTTTACATTGAAAAGGTGTAGACTCCTCAGAAATCTCCACATAAAAACGTCTTCCTTACATAATATTTCATACTTATGCAATGGCCATGAATTATTTGGTATGCCCTCATTTTCATTAAGAAGCATTTGTTATGAATGCCTGTGAAATTTTATTACAGCACTATGCTCCCCACAATCTTATATCCTTACTGAGTATAAAGAATTAGCATTGTTCTAAAAAATGATGATGTAACCTCCAACTGGAAACTCACAATTCTGTTTAAAAATCAAAGGTTGTAACTTCTGTATTATACCAGAGAATTAATATGAATTTTAAATATCTCATGTGTTTTTTCTCAATTTCTGTGAAACTGTCCAATCTGTGTTCATTCTTAGGCTTTCTATACTATTGATTTGAATTTCAAAGTAGACATATGTATAAAATATTGAAAGAAATATTTGTAATTGGATATTACTAATCTGACCAGACAGTTCAGAATCATTTCAAATTACACCAATGGAAAAAAAAATGGAGAACCATCTGAATGTACATCAAGGACAAGAGTTACAATTTGATGAGACTAGAACACTAAGGCAACTTTTTTGCTACTATGTTGTGTTTAGTGTTACACGATTATTGAGGTAAACTTCTATCCTAGGGAAATGGCTTTTCTCAGGGGATTCTAACATTATATGTTTCAAATTGCAGTTACTGAACACCTACTTCTGACAACTTTAGACTATAAGGCAATGCATGAGCATCAGATATGCTTTAGTAATGTCTAATGACCACTGGTTAAATATATACATTGATATATCACATACTCTTCACTAGTGCAAAGAGCTTAAAACTGCATTTTTCTCTATTATTTTTGTAATTGCTAATGTAAAATTTCCAGCTGTATTATTAGGGAGTGCTAGAGTATGTCTATATTTTACAAAGAAGACTCACTTTCCTCCTCCATTTCCATTATATTTCTTAAATACAATGTTTCGTTTTTATATTTATTGTATGGTACTATCCCTGTTTGCTGCTTTCTTTATTATAAAAAGTTCTCCTTTTTAAAGTATAGCAGGCAAAACTTTTCTGATGGTTCCCTCTTAGGCAACACAGAACCTGTAACTCAGACATATACTCTGGCACTTTTTTCCCGTGGTCACAATGAATCAGTATCATGAATATTCATGAAATCCAATGGGATGGTTAGAGTTTCCTCTATGATTGACTCGATACCTACTGCGATATCATATGTCAGCTGAGATTGTACTTACAGCTATTTGAAATAGGTCATCAGACTTTTACATTTTTGGTTCAGATGGAAAGTTCTGTTTGACATCTGTGATATTTTGGAAAATTATCTTAAAAGCATCAAAAATTAAATAAACTTTGCTGTGATTGCTGAAAAAGATCTCGCTACCACCCACAGGTTGTTTCAGGATATGCTACAATTCCACAGACTCAGTGCTATCAGTAAATTGCCGCCTTTATTAGTTTCTGGAAATAATTGTGGAAGCTTAAAAAAGATTATTTTATGACTCTGGTTTAACACAGCCTGTTTGATTACAACATCCATTCCTCTTCAGATAGTACATTGAGTTTAGTCAGTATGGACACACTGGTTATTCTAGTGCGAGATCCAGAAAGAGTGGGTGTGTATTTGTACCATACTAGAGATACAAGTATAATATGTAGAATTTGTAAGTATTAATACAACTATCCCTAGGATCCAGTATATATTTCATAATCCATGTATTAGAAGTACCAGTGAAGTTTTGGAAATGTTTGTACCCACTACATTGTGTTTCAAATCACCCAAAGAAAGGGAATGAAAAGAAGTATATAGTATATGAAAAAGCCAAATTATAGTTAATAGACAAAGATTACAGGCAATATAACTAGTAAAAGTAACATATTCTTATTTCATTGAACCAGTCTGTATCCTTTATTTCTTTGTACTTATTTTTTTTGCTAATCATTATTTTGCAATATATTACATGTGATTCAGAAAAGCCTTGCCCCCTGATTGATAACAGAAGTTGTCTGCTAGTATCACCTAATGTTCTCTAATTTTGCATTGTAACCCTTGAAACTGTAAGGAGCATTTGTATTCACCGGCTCTGATTGCCACGTCAGCAGACACTTTGTTCTGAAATGGATCGATAGTTAAATTCATACCTTTGTATAATGTGAAATTTCAGCTTTATAGACAGTTCAAGCTGACTGGCTATTTTAATACTTCACTCATTCTAGTTAATAATATATAGAAACATATTTGCTAAAATTATAAACTCTAAAATCATTTCATGGAAAGAACATTACCTTGTTTAATTTGTGTTGATACTAGATAAAGTAATGAGAAATTAAGAAAAAATAGAATACCTTTTCGTGAGCATGAATGAATTTCAATTTCATTGAGAAACCCTAGGTTTGAGCTTTCCATGTTATCAGTGACGAAATAATGAAAAAGATTTGATATGTTGCATGTCTTTACAGATACTGTCTCTAATGATACATTACATGGTTGACTCATGGAAATTTATTCTACGCTGTTTTTGAATTACTATTCTCTTGTGCCAGATTAGTTAGTAACTCTCTCATTATTACATTAGGATTCAGACTTTTCTTCCAGACCTCAAGTGGAAGAGCAGTTAGCCACCATACTTGCAAAGTGCCTGATGTACAATAAACAAATGGAATCCCAGTGTTTGTGATTATATGGTACTTATTGTTTCCTTATCTCTTGTAGACTTACAGCCTGATAAATATTCTAGTCCAGAGAGCAGCCATATACACCTTTTCTCATCACATAAATCTCATCTCATATTCCAGTAAATATGACCCAAACCTTATCCATGACAATTGCCATCATTCAAGCATAATGATGGACTTCTTCCTTCTTAATGCTGTGATTATTTTCTAGCCCTTAAACACTGATAGTCTTAGGATGAATCAGGGTATTGTGTTGAATGCATAAAGAGGCAAGAGATTGCTTCTTCCGTCTCTTTCTTATTTTAGAGAAAATAAAAAACAATTTTCAATGCAGGTTGATGGAGTTCCTCAGTGATTTGCACATGTTCCAAAATGGCACAGTTCCTCATTTCTATCTTTAGCAAAATAGAGTATCCAGTCATTTTTTTTTCTCGAACATCAAGGTCCTACCAGGATTAAAGCTCCCACAAGCAAACGCTGTGGGAAGGAGTTTCTGTATAGTCCTGCACGCTCAGCAGCAGGGTTAACTCTTATAATCCCAGTATCCTCTAGGATGGAAGCACTGACGTAAAGCTACCGGGCTGACTCTGGTCCTCTCTCCTTGCCTTCTCGGCCCTCACACATAACCCCCATATGATCTTGTCAAAATAGAGTCTGCATTGCATGTTGTCTTGCTGTAGAGCCATCCTTTTTTTTTTGTTTTTCTTACTATTCTTTTTTCTTAGTCTTTATAGCATATAAGTTCAGGTTGTAAGAAATAACAATCTGCAAGTCTTTGCAGCATGCCACCCATGATTATAAAATATTTTCCCCAACCAAATCAGAAACATGTAGTATAACCAAAAGGCATTCTAATATTCATGCTATGTTAAGTATAAATATAAATTCAAGGCAGCCAAACTATCCATTTCCAAATAAGAATGTATACCTACACTCATTAAAAATCATCTGGAAATGTGTATTATTAGCAAATGAGTAAGAAATTTTCACTAGTATAAAATTCCTGCTTTATATAAAAGCCACACTGGCCATTCAAGTATTTGAGGTTTTTTTTTCCCTATAGTTTTATAATTTGTACTAAAATGATGAATTTAGGCTTGAACTTATATTAAAGAAAAATTAAAAGTCACTTCTATCTATAGGGCATATTAAGAGTGTGCATGTGAAGAGCAAAGTGTCCATCTGCAGATCCACTATCAATACTTTTTCTCTCTCCATTCTAGGGAAATAGCTCATGCTGACTAGGTTTTAGAGAACAATTAACAATCCAATGGAGAAGCAACCGCAGATTTCCTTCAGTTTGTGCCAGTTTGCAAGTTAAAGGTCAAAGGGCAAAGACATGGAAGGAGACTCTTCAGGAAATTTTCACAGAAGACAATGTTTAAGTTGTTAATGACAGTCAACAGATCAATAATCAAGTTCAAGGCAAGCTGTTCATTGTTTCAAAAGCTAATCCCCTCCAAGCTGGCTTTCACACAAAGCCAAGGTCTGACTCATGGGGTGCATTCCTTCTGACCATCTCTAATAAGTTCACAGCCCAGTGGCTGTAAAGCCTTTCACTGCAAGAAGCAGCTCCTAAAAATCAATAAAGAGGTCTGTCAGTTGCTGACTTTTCTCTAGGAAAAAAATATTGATACAGACCTGCTCTGCAGGTCACATGAAAATGACAATACTGCTTTGAGGACAAATTACACTCAACAATGAAATGCTTTGGTGGTCTCTTGGATCTGTCCGTGATCAAATGTTCGGCTAAATGCCAGAAGCCACACTAACCCTTTGAGAACTATGGTTGACATGCAACAGGTAATGCATTGGAGGATACTCATGCAACCTCAGAGTCATCAATTTTACAATGGCAATGCGAACTGCATATACCAAGGCAAATTGAATCTTCATGCAATGGATTTTATAACAGAAATTCAGTATGTCGAGGAAACAAAGGCCATTATAAACAGTTGTTCAAATAAAATTTCACTCCTAGAAGATACTTAACAAAATACCTTTTTTATTTGCCAGCAATTTTTGGCAAGTAACATCATTTCTGTTTATTATAAATGCATTTACGTAGCACTATAAATCATTTAAAAATTACATAGGACTATAGGATATCTGTTTTCAAAACTCGAACTCCTTGAACCCGTGACTGCTTTTAACCATTGCCCAGTTGATTAATTTACCAGATAGCAAGACTGACAATCTCAAGACTCTGAAAGCTGGTCTGATAGTTCTCAAAGGGTTATACCAATGTATTATTAGTGTCACAAATCCTTGTAAAATAACTGTCACTTTAATCCACTTCAGAGGCATACTGCTTCTTGCTCTGCTTTGAAATGAATTCCTCACAGACCCATGTCAGGCCTGGGGCAATGACCTAATACAACCTGGGGAGATCATCACAATGATAAAGGGGTAGAGTGGCAAGAAAGGGTTTAGAAACACTTCGAAACAATTAAAAGGTCCTTTTTGAACACAGCTATGAATATAAATGTGATGAAACATTGAGGACATAGCTGAGAACAGCTGTATAAAATGAAAAATGGATGTATTATTAAGGCTGTTACTATATTGCAGATATGTTGGCCCCTTGTTTGTTGGAAAATGGCTGTCCCAACAGTCTAAAGTCCTGTATGTGTGTTCCGGATCTCCCACCTGACAAAATGAAGTGCAGGAGGCTCTCCATAGCGGTCAGAGCTATCTTCTTTGGAGACAAAGCTGTTTTGGGTCTTCACACTTTCCTGAAAGTTCAAATGTGGGGTTTTTATTATTTATTTATTTATTTATTTATTTTTGTTTAGAATTTCTTTTCCTTTGCTTTAAAGCAAAAAAAAAAAAAAATCGTGGGTTTTTTTTGTCGTGTTTTGTTTTCCCCCAGAAATGGGCTCAGACTTCAGAAGGAACATAATATTAAAAACCTTTGAGAAGAATCATTTCTTCTTTTTTCTTCTTCTTCTTCTTTAGTTAATCCTGAAATTTTACTGGGCATTGAGCGTGCAGAGAAAAGGCCTAGAACTGAATGACAAAGAAAGACAAAGGACTGGAGAACGGCAGATACTGTGCATCATGGAAGCTTCCCCATGAGTGTATTTCCACTCATGCGCAGGACCAGCAACCCTCTGGGTTTGAAAGGTCAGCCCTGAATCAGGCTGCCACAAGCCTGTTCCTAGCTAGGAAACAGCATAACAGCTCTTGTCTTGAATCTCAAGTTACCACAAACTCCTGGAAAAGAAAGAAAGAAAGAAAGAAAAACCCTACATCACACCCACTCTTGCATAGAGCGTTTACAGTACAGTATGTGGCGGGGTGTTCCTTTCCTCTTGAACTGGAACACAGTGTAAACCAATACAAGGAGGCATAAGGCCAAGATGCAGGGAATGACAATAGCTATGGCTTTCACAGTGCTGGCTGTGTTGTCCAGTTTGATGACAATGTCTACATCATCTGGAGGGCTGTGTCCTTCTTTATCTCTGTCTGTTGGTCCATCACAGCCCATAAAGTCCTTGAGGATGGATCTCGGGTATCCAGGCTCTACCTTGAGTATCTGGTTGTTGAATTTCCAATATTCCTTTCCTTTGTAGAAATATGTAAATCCTGGAGGACAAAACACACAGATGCACAGACACACACACACACATAGATACCACTTATTTCTGAAAGTGTACATGTACAGGGATTTTACTCAAATAGGCTATTTCTCAAACGATATATTTTAAGGCCCTTCAATTTCATGGGATGGAAATAATATCTTTAGCTCATCTGTCAGTTGCAATGTGTGCTCTCTAATGTCTATATAGAGCTGTAATGAGAGAAGAATGAGGTTAAAAAGCTGAAGGCTCAAGCCTCTCTACTCCTAGACCACACTTGGAAAGACAAATTTATCCTTCTGTTCACTTATAGGACGCCTGTTACAGAACTACACATTCACATGGTAATATTAACCTATGTTGTAAGATGTGGAAATTGTCTTATGAATTAAAACACCATTTACCCTCATTTTTTCTTGGGACTACCGTCTAAATTTTGCTGCTTTTGTTAGACCAAATTCTCAGGTTTGTTTTTTTTTTTTTTTTCCTTGTATTCATAGGTTCTTCATGTCAAGTTTTTTTGTGAATAGTCGACTTGGACTTAATTCTTGCTTTGAGATAAACTTCAAAACAATTAAGAATTAAGAATTAATTTTTAGTTCTATAGTTACTTAAACATATTAAAGTTAGCTATTTTGAATAAAATGAATATTTTAGAGTTTATTATGATTAATAAGGATTTTCTCTTTCTGATTTTAGGGAGCACTTATTATGAAAGGGTAGGGTTAAAAGCTTAGACAATAGCATATCTTTTAGTCTCACAACCACTCTATTAGATAGAATTAATTGCCCATTCTTTTCAGGCAAAGATACTGAGGCTTGGAGATTTAAATATATACATCTATTTAAATATATATATTATATATATATGACAAAATCCTGGTGAAAGTAGGATTTAAATTGCAGTCTAGATCTTCAGCCTGAACTTGTAATAATGTTGCCAAGAATGGATCCTTTAGATATCTGCTTTTTATCAAATACTCCTTGGTTCAACATCAAAGGTTGAGATGGAGATCCTCCCGATGCAACGAATTCTGACATCTCTCAAAAGCATTCCAGACTGGATAGACTACCACTTAATGTCACTTCACTTGGATAGCATTCTGTTCCATGCCATAAAAATACGCTGTTTCTTTCAGTTTCAAAGAACAGCTTTGTGATCAGAGCAACTTGTGAAGTGAAAACAGGTCTATGTAGATTCAAATTGTTCTAAAGGAACTGGTATTTGATCACTCTAATGATATACAATGTAACTACTCAACGAGCTTGGATGAAGAAAGGTTGAGGGTCTGTACATTAGACCCTCACAGGTGAATAATGACACTGACTTAAAATTAAGCAGACCTCTTATAATAGGTGCATGTACTTATGTTTAGAAATTGGAAACCAACAACGCTAAGTGTCCTCGTCTTTAATTTTTAGCCAAATATAATTACTATAAAGGTGTTGGATTTTAAACTAAACTCAAGAGGATTCTATATTATTAATCTGTAATTAATAATATATTATTAATTAAAAGTAATTAATAATTCATACTAATCAGTTCTGCTGGCCAGATTTCATAGTAACATATTACATATGTAAAAGTGGAAAACATTTGTTACAAAAAAGAAAGTCTGATCTCTAGCAGTTTGATAATGTAACTATCTGGAAGTAGTCAAAAGAAAGAAGTTGCCTGAACTTAAAAAGTAAGAAGTAAAAAGTAAAGTAGAAGTAAAAGTAAGAAGTAGCTGAAATCTTTGTAATAGAAACATTTCAAGCATTGATCCTGCAAAATTCAAGTTTATTTTTTGTTTTCAATTATAAATATCAATTGGTTGAAGAAATGTTGGGTTTTTGTATTTTTTCCTTTCTAAATGTATCTTAAAGTTAAATTCTTGTACCTGATATATTTATTAAGGGGAACAATGTCTGAAACATTCTTCTTTGAGTTTTCATTTTTTGGAGAAAATCTTGAGAAAAAAAAATCAATGATCCTGCAATGTATTTTTTAGTATTTCTTTGTTTTTATACTTGACTGGACTTTACTGCTTACTTTTCTATTGCTCCACCGTAAAAATGTAATGCTGCATAGTGCACTAGAGGTATTTTACTACAGCCTATTTAGTGTTCCTTGATGACAGCGCTTCTATGTTCCATTCTTTGTTCTCACTCATTTTAGAGGAAATTGTCAGTACTTAATAAATGTGATTGATTAAACTGAACCTTGTGGCATTTTTTTTAATCAAACTTCTACATTCCACCAGAGAACGAGTGTAGAGGTAGAGAATTAATATCACAAATCAGCAGAACTAAGAGTCTAAACTATTTTAAATGGCTAAATGTGGAGTTGTAATCAGTAAAAGGAAATGCAATAGTGTTAACAATAAAGTCTTGCATTTACTGGAAAGTATATTCGTAAGGAGAGGATAATGAACACTTGAGCGGTATTGCTTGACTACAATTAATGTGGACACAATTTGAAGGAGGCAGTGATTCTTTGCCACAATTTTAGTGTTTAAAACACTGTTGAGGGCCAGCGCTGTGGCTCAATAGGCTAATCCTCCACCTAGCGGTGCCGGCACACCGGGTTCTAGTCCCAGTTGGGGCGCCGGATTCTTTCCTGGTTGCCTCTCTTCCAGACCAGCTCTCTGCTGTGGCCAGGGAAGGCAGTGGAGGATGGCCCAAGTGCTTGGGCCCTGCACCCCATGGGAGACCAGGAGAAGCACCTGGCTCCTGCCTTCGGATCAGTGCGGTGCACCAGCCGCAGCGCGCCAGCCATGGCGGCCATTGGAGGGTGAACCAACGGCAAAGGAAGACCTTTCTCTCTGTCTCTCTCTCTCACAATCCACTCTGCCTGTCAAAAAAAACCAAAAAAACAAAAAACAAAAACAAACAAACAAAAAACACTGTTGAGAACTGAGTATTAACAAACAAGTAACTCCAATATATTCTACATCAAATCTTGGGATTATTGAAGTTATTTTGGTGGACTGAAGATAAAGAGGGAAAATAAAAAAATAAAAACATTAAGGAGGAAAAAATTTTGTAAAATTAAGATGGTTAAAGGTACAAATCAAGAGGCAGATGGCTCAGGAAGCTGCATACTTAGAGAGCCTGGGTTGTCTGGTATGGTCAATAAAAAATTGAGCCATACATGATAGATAGTCAACCACCTTTATGTAACATAAAAATATGTTAAGTTTTCTTCTTTGGAGAGAATATATTGAAGCACATTCATTGAAGATAGAATATGCTAGTTTCTAACCTTTGAGGCATCTGTTACTGATTTTATGATCATGAGTAAATTATTTAAACTTACTGAATGTTGGTAAAGAGGTATTTGTGTAGCGCAATTAAAGTAGGTAATGATTTTATGTAACAGACTTGAAACACAGCAGGTACTCATTAAATGGTACCAGATAGCAACATTTCATTAGTCAAGATGGCAGAATTGACTTCAGTAGACAGAGTTAACAACAAATAGAAATAATATTTTGCTTCAATAGGAAACAAATTCCTTCAAAAATCTTTGAATTACTTTTACTTAAAAAAATACTATGCAGAGAGGATTCCTACCATGGCAAATTCCTACCATGCTGGAAGAGCAAACGGGAGAAAATGTTTCAGGGCTCTGTCATCTCTGATTTTGTAAGCATTAAACATTAGGGATTTATAGAGAAGTACTTTCAGTCAAAATAATTTACAAATGTGTTCAAATCATTTGAGGTTGTTTTCTTCATGTGAACAAGAGGAAAGAAGCTGTATAAAACCTGAGTTTAAGGTCAGAGGTCACAAGATTGAGAAATCTGAGCACAGGGTAAGAAATGGAGAATGTGCTGTCAACGGACCATGTAGTTGGAGACCTTCCAGATTAGTTAACATTGCTATCACACAGAGGAAATGATTATGAAAAATAAGGTAAGTCCTCTACTTTAATAAGGGGATGTTTAGAAAAGTTGAAAAAATAAAATTTATTCCATAACTTACATATATTGAATGTTTAGTATGTTACTATATTCAAAGAAGTTATGCTGGAGGAGAAAATGGACAATGTTAAGCATGATGTGGTAAGAATATGAGTACCAAGGATAGAAAACCAAAAAAAAAAAAAGCATTTTGAAAGGATTTCTTAAGAGAAAGAGAATGAGCTCTAGGTTGAAGGATATCAGAGAAAGGGCTGGAGTGGGGAAGGTCTGCACGACATCAAATGTGTGAAAATTTTATCTGAAGTTTTTAGTTACTTGCAAGCATTGATTTTTCCAAAAGTCTCATGTCTTTTTATTTTATAAAGTTTTCTTTACTATGGGGAAAGAAACGAGAGGGTTTTGAATGTCAGGAAACAGATTTCCTGTTTATGAAATTAAACTTGAGGAGGTGAGAACATGGTAGGAAAATGCTGTGGAAATGGGATCTCGGTGTTCAGTCCTACTTCATAAGACACACACAACTGAGTGTGCATGAATTTTTATAGATGTATAATTTGGTAGCATTTTGTTAGTTATATTTTATATAAGAACATAATTCAATTTTTAAATTACTCTTTTATGTTAACGATGATTCTTCACAGTTATTCACAAAGAATTTAAGGGAGCTGCACAGCTCAGACTACACGTTTCAATACTATTGCACTGATTTATATTGAACATTATTAAATTGATCAAAATAAATTGAAAAATCATAAAGGAAGGAAGAATATTATTATTTTATATAATTGTGATTTATTTCCAGATAAATTGAATCTGAAATATCAGATTTTAAAGGCTTTGTAATTAGGAATAGAGGATATGTAACAGTTAATTTGATAATGGATTGAGATTCTGTGTCATTTTCAAATTTTTGAAAGTAATTTGTTTTATTTTATAATTTATATTTACCATAAAAGTTATGTGAATTTTTGAAAATAAACAAAGATAAGAAATATGAAAATTAACAAACTTGCTAATCACTAATAAGATTTTGGCTTAAGTTTCTATGTGGATATTTTTCTGTGGTCTGTGACAGCACATACCAAAAAGTAGTCTAAGTAGTAATAATACCTCTGTCGGTGTGAGCTAGAGTTGGTTTTATCCAAGTTGTAACTTTAGTCTGTCTGCAAGAAATCTATTAAATTTAACCGTGACCATATTTCACATTTTTTCATTTCTTTGTGCTTTTTATCTGCTCAGTTTTCAAAGTTTATGTCATATTTTTATCTGATTGTTGTGCTGCCTCCAAGGATACTGCACTATGACTCCTCCCACTTTCGTACTGACTATAATTTTATATCAGATGTATATATTTTCATCTTGATATCTCCTCTACTATGAAATTCTGCATTTATAACATACCAGCTACATGTTAACTTGCTTTGTTAATTCTCCAAAAAAGTTATAATTCTTAGCAATTGCTACAATCAGGGCTTCCAGGTACTTTTGGAAAAGTTAAAATGGCAATAAATTATGATCATTATTTACTCCAGTTAACTGATCCCAGAAAGAGATGTGCTCATACTTTACATATACCAACTGACAGAGAGGTATGGATTATCCACGTCAAGAGGATCTGGCTGAATATCCAATCCTGAGTTGGAGAACAAGGAAATGAGGCAGCTCTTCTATTCGTTTCTTGCTGATAAGTCATCATACATCCATTCTACTCTATCAAGTGGGAATCTTCTTGTTTCTTGACAGTATGAAAAATTATAATCCTCAACAGGCATTATCACGTAAACTTACATCTTCTCCTACACTTATAACATCATCCTTGGGATAGTTCCTGTCTCAGATATTTTTGCTAATATCTTTATAGGAATTTTATTGGAAATACAGGTGAGGTTACTTCAAAGTTATTGACACTGCAATATTGAACTGCTACCTATATTTTATAATGATTTTTATAAACCAAAAATAGTTGATATTAAAAATCTCTAGAGCATGTTAAGTGTAAATCTAGGAAGAAAAATTATTAGATATATCACATAGCTTTAGTAGGGCACTTTCTGATTATTTAACATATTAAAAACCAGAATGAAATATAAAAATTACTGGAAAATTCTAAAATGTATAATGCACATGATGCATACCATTTTCTTTGTGCACAAAGGCTCCCTGTGGGGATTCAGGGATCCCTTTCCAGACTGTGATGGGCTTGGGATAGCCAGGGTCCATGGTTTTCATTTCTTCACTATATCTCCAATACCTAAAATGAATAAAACAACAACATGTGCACAGGGAAATCATGTATACACACTGACAGGCAAAATCCACTAAATCCATGCTGCATGCTTCACTGTTACCTGTACCTGTACATTTGGTACTGATTGACCAAACACCAGTTGGGAAGCTACGATTTCAATTACCAGAAGGACAGTGGGCTTAAAACATGCCTTCTGTTTATTCTCCTTGCATTTGTTAAAAATGGGGATACAACTGTACATATTCTGCATTTGCTAAAAATGAGTATTTTTTCACCTTGCCAAAATCAATAGGATGCTAATTATTTTATGCTAGACAGCTATGTTTACAATTATACTAGCCTCATCAACATGTACCTATAATCTTGAACATTGAATATTGATCATTTAAGAGATACAAACTTGAACTAAAAAAGACATGCCCCAGCTCTCTCAATCTTATATTTCAGGATATGTTAGAATATAAGCAATAAGCCAATTTATTTGTAAATACATATTATGATAGGAAATGGTAACAGTTATGAGAAAAATAAAGTAGACAAATATATTTAGGAATGTGGGGAAGCCATATTAAAAGTCTTCTATGATAAATTGACATTCTACAGAGAGAAGTGAGGAACAACACATGGGGGCTTTGAATACTCCAGGCAGAGGAATTCAGAAACAAAAGTCTCTGTGTTAGGCACTCTTTGAATACCTAAGCATCTACAAGGAGTCTAGAGTTATGGGATTTGAATTATTTATGGAGAAACAAGATCACAGCAAGAACCAAGGCCTAAGATAAAATGGGCCTTCGCACTTCAGCAAAGTCTTTGATTTTCCTCTTGGAGAGACGGGAAACCAATACCTATTTCGAGGAGAGGTGCTTCAATATATGGATTGTTGCTGAAAAACATACACTGGTTGTTGTGAATAAAATAGCTTGAAAAGGACAAAAGCGAAGTTAGGGTATCAGTTACACTGTCATAATAATTCTTAGACTGGGGAGTAAGCCGTGTACTTGATTATAATTTATGGGATTTGGGATGTACTTTGAAAGGAAGAGCCCAAAGGACTTACTAGATGGATTGGATGCAGGATGTGAGAGAGGGAACTTGAGTATGATGCAAGAATTTTGAGCTCACTCATTTGAGGACAAATGTTGCCATTTCACTAAGAGAAGGAACCAGGTGAAATTAAGCTGAGATGGTTTGAGGAATCATGAGTTCAATGTTAGTAACATTAAATTCTGACATCACAGTGGGCTGCCAGATGAAGCATTTGGGTCTACGTATAGATGTTCAGGCAGTACTTGATTGGAGAACCCATGGAGTACGCAGTAAGCAAAGGGAAGCTCACCACGAGTGAGAATTTTCAGGTTCCTATTCCCTGACTGGGGTTCTATGGGCCTGTTTCACAGAATCCCAAGTTCCAGGGACAACACTGAGCACTCACGTTTCAGAGTCGTCATTTTTGTGTACGTGGTCCAAGAATAAAAGGGGTTTCTATCTTAGATGACCAAAAAAACTGACAAAATGAGGTGAAACTTTTGGGAGTTCATCATGATTCCACCCATTTTAGGGCAGGCATAGTGATATATGTATGATTGTATTTAATCATTACAAAACCAGGAGCTAGTCATCACTGTCCTCATTTGAGAGGAAAATTCTTCAAGGATAAGGGATGATAGGTAGACATTCAACCAAACTTCTCTGATTTCCACAAAGTGTTTACTGTTTTCTCTATAATAAAGCTTCCAAATTTATTTGAACCATCAAATACACTTGCCAAATTTATCTAACAATGCTTTTTTTTTTCCTGCCTATTAAGCATCTATGACCATCTACTAAAGCTAGTGTTTTACCAATAAAGGTTTGAGAGATTATACGATTATTGTATTATTTTTGGATTAGCCATTTTGCCTGAAATTAGAAGTATTATCTGGTCTGGATATTGTCCTGTGTCATATCTCTGGGGAATCTTTTGTTTCTATAGAACTGTGGGATCTTGTGCAGAAGGTTTTGCTATAAATTCCTAGAAACCTCACTCACATCTGCAGCATTAGCATTTTCCACATCTCCAAATGTTCACATAAAAAGGAAGAAAAGGCTTCCTCATTCCAATGAAAAGCCAGGTTTATTCAAAAAGAGAAACAAGAAGTCAGTAGTATTTGTCCCAGGTTCTTATCACATGGAAGATGAAAACAGATGGAGAGATAAGGAAAAACTTCATGGAGAAGCTCTGAGCTGACATCATGGTGAGTGGCGCCTACGGAAGCAATCATTAGTGTGTCATTCTACTAATTCTGAAATAGGATTCTTTTACATTTTGTTCAAGGAAGCATCTGCTTTTAAATTATTTCTGAACATGCCTTTCCCAAAGAATAATCTGTGATGTATATAGAAAGTTAATGGGGTTGATAATCTCACAATGTCACTATCTCCTCTCAAGTCAGTATTACAAGAGGATTTACAGCAGTCATAGATATTAGCTAACTGCTTCTAATACTTAACTAAAGGTAGCCTCTCACAGGGAAATAGTCAAACATGTTATTTCATAGATACTAAGAAATATTTTGTTTTTCACATTTTACATCTGTAAACATCGGAACACATCCTACAATCAATACAGTTTCACCATTGACTTGGCAGGGTTTTCCCCTCAAAGATAGGTTATGTAATAATATGTATTACAATAAATGACATTTTTAGATGATACAGACTATGACTTAATGTGAGCTTTTTAAATGCTAGCCGAGAAGTTGTTGAAATCCTAGGGAAATGGGATCAAATACTGGATGAGATTTAATTCACATCACTATATTTTTAGAAGCTACATGAATTTTTTGTAGTAGTTACACTATTGTACATTTAATAAAACTGTATGTGGTATTTTACAGCTTTATAAAGTAAATTTATAAACAAGTACATTATTTCACTAAAATCCTCAACATTTTTTATATTACATATTACAATGTTTTCTATGATGATGATATCCTAACTAGAAATTTACTACTCGTGGTAATTCAGTTCAATTAATGACAGACCACTGAGTCTTTTGTTAGTCAAAGAAAAATCATTTACTCTCTTTTGTTTGTTTAAATGTGGTGTTGTTGAAATTCAATGTACTGTGTTTCGTTCATAGTTTAGTACAGTTTTCAGCAGACACAGTGTTCCTACAATGACTGTCTTGTTCACTTGTGCTCTCATTCAAATAACTGCTGTTTGTTGTTTGAATATAATTTTACTTTCTCTATTTTTTATTCATCCATATATCCATTCAACCACCAACACATTTTAGCAACTGTACTATATGGCAGGCACATAAGATTTATAGACATCAAATTTCAAGAAAATATTCATGGGATATAATTTTATTAGATTTTCTTGTAGAAACACAATTATGGCATGAATTTGTCAAGGATTTTTTCCTCTCCTAGAAGATAATACAAAATTATAATTTAGGATCGTTTCACCATTTTTGAAAACTGAACCTTACCTTGAATGCTCAGATATTTTAAAGAAATTATATTTTTATATTTTAATATTTATTAGTATGTAGAGAACAGATTTTATCAATTTTATAGATACTATTCCAAGAATACAATGATAATCAGTTCTCCCTCCCTCCCTTTTCCTTACTATCTTTCCATTTTTTCTTTTAATTTTTTGTGGTAACATACTTTGAATTTGCTTTATAATCACATTTATAAAATGCATCTTTAAACAAAGAGCTCTACATGTAAAATGCAGATAGACCACTGTTCCACAGGTTTATGTTCAAGGATATGGACAGCAATCAAATCACAAGATGTCAGTTTAGCTCCATATACATTAAAGGTTCTTTTTTTATATATATCAGCAACGACAAATCAGAGGAAAGATATTTGTCTTTAAGTGAAATATGCCTTAAGCCTCAGATTGTCTATTGTGTGCCAGCTTTGATATGTAACTAGTAAGTAAAGTTGAACATGATCAGAATTTCTGACTATATATTCACATTGCCTTGTGAAAGGTACTGAGTAGCATTCATGAACACAGGTTTGTATTTACTTATTCTAAACCAATGATTCAAAATAAATTGTTGCAAGAAACAAGAGTTAGTCATCATTGTAGACCTTATTATGAATCACATCCATGACAGATGAGTTATTAATGCATACAGAATTTTAAAAATTCCTTTGTGTTGAGGAAAATATGGCTTGCAAAATTCAAGAGTGAAATATTTCAATAGGATGTTGCTGGAATTCGAACCCCAAACTACACATAATATGTATGCAGGGGTCACTTCACAGAATCAAGCTGTTTCCTCATTTAACTTGGTCTCATTTTTTTAGCTTCTGTTAAGTTACCATAAAACATAAAACCCTATTTTATTCATATGCAAATAAGCCTTCAGATCTCTACTTGAGAGACATTCTTTATCAAATATCTATTTTTATGTGTAGTTGAATAATTTAAAAATCTTATATATTATATAATTATGGCATAAACACACAAGTTGGAGAAAACAATATATTTTCCTATAACAAGTAATAATTATAAAGCTAAAATGGACCTAAATTTTATTTTTCTTATTTGAAAGTATCCTAAAATTCTCAATGCTTAAACTTAGAATGAAATATGGCAATAACATCTCAGATATGTATGTGAGAAAATGCTGAGAGATGATTTAGAAATACAACATTTTGAGTGAAATGCTATGAAGATCAAAATGCATCCAAATAGCAAATTACAGTGTATCAAGAAAATGACAAGTAAGAAACCAAGGGACTGAGTTCCATGCTGTCCGTACAACCGCAAAGAGTAGATATTTTAATCTGAATTTGCAGATCTATTTAAAGATCCATCATTTCATCTACTTTAATTATCTTTATACTTGGAAGATTTCACGTGCCCTTTGCTTGCCATACCATTTAGTTATCAATTACTCTCAAATCTGTGTCTGTGGGTGACCTTTGCATTAAGACACAAACTAAATTATTAAACTACCTATTTGCCTTTTCCATTTGGTGCATAAACAAGCA